AACTTGTTAATTACCAGTTCTCAAGTTTAAAATGTGTGGTGAGTAAAAACAGAAGTCAGGACATTCTGAACTAAAGCTTGCCAGACTCTGAGAATATTAATATGGCATACTATCAATAGAAAATGATAAAGATAAATAAATCCTCAAATTATTCACTAAGTTACTAAAAGTCCAAAGAAATCTGTAATAATAAAAGCATAATATGCTAATTAGGCCAGACGTCCTTCCAGGCAACCTTCCAGACGAAGCTGGGGCTGAGAGGGAAGCCCGGGTCCCAGGTGCCAGAGGGAAGCGTTGCAGGCAGCCTGGGGAAGGAAGGCCTACTCTTGCACAAATTTTGTGCATCGGCCTCTAGTATATATATGTAACAGGAGGAGCAGAGTTCAGAATGGTGGTGGAGATCAAAGGAGGCCTGAGAGTAGGCAGTCTCGGACCCCAGTGTAGCTGGTGGCAGTATAAATCCACTGGAGGATGATGTTATAATTAAGTCAATAACCCAAACAGGCAGCCCAAATGGGAAGACAAGAACAACAACCCCCAAATGAAAGAACAAGAGAATTCCCCAGAAGAGACAAATTAAATGGAGATAAGAAATTTATCTGACCCTAACCAATTTGGCTCAGTGGATAGAGCGTCGGCTTGCAGACTGAAGGGTCCCAGGTTCGATTCCGGTCAAGGGCATGTGGTTGCGGGCACATCCCCAGTAGGGGGTGTGCAGGAGGCAGCTGATTGATGTTTCTCCCTCATCGATGTTTCTAACTCTCTATCCCTTCCCCTTCCTCTCTGTAGAAAATCCATAAAATATATTTTTTAAAAAGAAGTTTATCTGATACAGAGTTCAGAATAATAATGGTAAAGATCTCCAACAGCATGAACTAAATCACTGGATTTCTGATCAAACCTGCCTCCTCTGAGCCCTCTTGTAATGCACAGAGAACATGCAGCCCAACACAGAGACCAAAGGCTGAATTCCTGATAGGAGCTGTCTCTTTGGCACCCTCCTGTGGTGAACGAAGGACATGCAGCCCCATGTGTGGACCAAAGGCTGAATTCCTGATGGGAGCCGTCTCTTCTGCGCCCTCTTGTGGTGCATGAAGAACAGGCAGCCCCACGTTGGGAGCAAAGGCTGTATTCCTGATATGAGCTGCCTCTTCTGCGCCCTCTTGTGGTGCATGAAGAACATGCAGCGCAGCCCATCCACATGCCCTGCACCACAGCTGCTTCTCCACATTGCTGCCCTCTGGCATCAGCCATAACTACCCAAGAGCATTTGCTAGAAGTGCTGTTCAGAAGGAACTCAAGCCAGACTGGGAGCCTGGTTTCAATGACTTTATTAACCTTCCCAGGGACTTGGACGTGGCATTACATTACAGCGTGTACAGAAGCTGCTGAGCATTCGGTCTGGAGCAGTGATATTTAACCTTTTCACCTTGTGGCACATAAAATTCGGCGGCGACCCCCCAAAATATATATTTTGCCCATCTGACAAAGAAAATAGCCATACTTTTGATTCAATGACACCCGACGGCTATTGTGTTCACTGTTGTCATTTTTTTAATTTGACAAACTAAGGGAAAGGGGTGGCGCCCCTGACTAAACAGTCAGGTATTGCGTGTTGTACATATTCCTGTGGCGCAGAGGTCGGAAGTCACTGGCCTACAAGGCACTCTTCCATTCCCAAGGGCAAGCACGTCGCTTCTCTTTTCACAAAGAGGACCCTCGGGAAGATGCTCTGACATGGTGATGAGAGTGAGCCTGGGGGGAGGGACACCTTGACAGAGGCGCTGGGAAGGTGAGAACACTTCTGAGGAACAAGGGCTGTAGAGCGGAGGATGGGGGGCGGGCCCCTTCTCTCTCACAGGTCTCCCTGGATTTTGGGAACACCTTCAACCTCGTTCGCCTGGCGGGACCCGCTTGCAATATGGATTTCGATTGTGCTGGCATCAGACCCTGGAGGGGAAAAGAGAGAAGGCTGTGATGGTGTCGTGTCCTGGGAGGCGTTGCATGAGCTTCAGCAACGTGTTCATGGACGAGATCACAGTGCGTGTGGTGGCTGCCTGGCCGCCTGCGCTCAACTCCAGGAGGTGCCCCACGAGAGGGAGACCCCCTCCTGTCAAACTCAGACACCTCCGAGTGGTCCTTTCATGGATGATGCCACGTGGTTTGGGGGGAGAGCAGTGGGTTATCAGTAGAATGAAACCAAAGGTCTTGCCCTAGCCGGTTTGGCTCAGTGGATAGAGCATTGGCCTGCGGACTAAAGGATCCCAGGTCTGATTCCGGTCAAGGGCACATGTCTAGGTTGTGGGTTCGATCCCCAGTAAGGGGCGTGCAGGAGGCAGCTGATCCATGATTCTCTCATCATTGGTGTTTCTCTCTCTCCCTCCCCCTTCCTCTCTGAAATCAGAAATATATATTTTTAAATGCTGAAAGGAGAGGCAGATGAGGAACTACAAGACTGGCATCAGTGTGGGGCACTGTGACGTTCCATGTACACCCCGACGGGCGTGAGGGAGGTGACAGGCACCACCTCCATCCCACCTCACCTTGGTTGCTGACGGGCCTTGGGGGAGCCCGGGACCCCGCAGCTCGCCTGCCTCACCTCCAGACAGCATGCTCAGGGCCTCGTCCGACGTGTGCCCGCCCACACGTGCCACCTTCCTGGAAGCGGGGCT